CCTGAGCACATGATGAAAGGAAGTAGAAAGAAGCAGTCACAGTCTGGAAAAGCAATCAGCGAAGACAGAAGACAGCTCCTAGGACTCTTCTATTAGCCGTAAGTGGGGAAAGATATTGGCAATAAAACAAACAAAAATAAAGCACTCTTATGGGAAATTAGCTTGTGGTTTAGCACTACTAAATCACAACAAAGTTTGCTGGGAGTTTCTATAGCAAGAACCCTGGTGTTCTGTATGGCTGTGAAGTACCCTCACAGGCTTGTCTGTTACACACTTGGTCCCTGATGGTGGTGCTCTTTGGGAGGTTGTGGAACCTTGAGGACATGGGATACATCTGGAGGAGGTGAGTTGGCTGGGAAGCTAGCCTGCAGGGTTATAGTTTTTACCCCACTGCTAGCCAGTATCTCTGGGTTTTGGTCAGAAAGATTGAGTTCCAGCCACCTACCTCCACCACTATGAACTCCATTGTATTTTCCCCACCATGGCAGAGCCAAACTAAACCCTCCCTCAAGATGCTTGTCAGGCCTTTTTGGTCACAGCAATGAGAAAAATAATCCACATACCTGGTGTGAGAATCCAAGGATCCCTGAGTTTTATCTTGTTCTTGTTTTGATTTATAGAATTGAAAAAGTAGATACAAGTTAAAGACAGGCTAGATTAAGTCCCAAATGTTATTTGACCAGTTGCCATAAGGTCCTAAAAGAGAACTGATTTTACAGAGCAAGCTGTTTATCCGAATTCAAAGACATTCTGCAACCTTCTCAGCCAAACATTCTGATATTACATGTTATCTACTATCAAAAGTTCCTGTCATGTCTCAGGAAACTTTCTGTGTTACAGGTTAAGATGGAATCTTGGTCAGTCTCTCCATTATCAAGAGAAGGCTGAATTTCTTTTAACCATCTCTTGTCTTTCCAAAGGACAAGCCATAGGACAAACTATGTAGGGCAATGTGATCACAAAGTTCATCTTTTACCCAACACCAGGTAGGAGTCAGTCAGACCAGGCAGTTCCTAGAACTTGTCCTGCTCTCCTAGTTCCCTTCTACCCCAAGACAGCTGCTAACCCAGACTCCAGCCCTTTGACTCAGAAATGAAATTATAAAATGGCCTTAGTGTGTTTATTAAGATATATTATATATACTATAATATTCTCCACTTTAAATGCACACTTCAATGGTTTTAGCACATCTACTGTTGAACAACCACCGTTAATCCTAGAATGATCCCATCTCCCTTTTTCCCCCTGGAAACTCGTATTTATGAGTAGGTGGCCATCATTACTGGGTGCTCTTCTGGGTGTTCTGCCCAACCTGAGGCTGGTGCACTCCACACACTGTCAGCAGCCAGCATGTTTCAAAGAAGCCTGAGGAGCACAGCCAAGGTTTTCCTTACTGTGCCTCCAAACACAGGCAGTGTTTTTTGTTTGTTTGTTTGTCTGGTTTTTTTTTTGCTTTTTTCTTTTACTTACACACTAGTATTAGCCATGGAAAGAAAAGAAAATACTGCTGTGAGGCTAGGATGTGGCTCAGTTGGCAGAGGGCTTATCTGGCAGTAGAGTGCCAACCGGACTTAGTGGTGTGCCCTACAATCCCAGCATTGGGAGGCGGAGACAGGAAAACTAGTTCAAGGTCATCCTTACCTACTCATCAAGTTTGAAAAGCCCAGGATACCCAATGTCCTGTCCTAAAAACAAACAGAAACGCCCCCCAATCAATGGTGTGTATTTCCTCCTAGTGTTTCAGAAGAAGAATCTGGTGGGGCAGCATCTGCCAACCTTCAGGTCCCAGACCTAGATCCTGACCCTTGACCTGGAGCCTCCTCCTGGGTCAGGTTCTAGGAAACCTGTGGTTATTTAATTTGATTAAGAGATAAAGAAAAATGTATTATATTGGTTCCTTTTATCCCCCCTTGGAGACAAGATCTTTCCATGTATCTCATGTGATCCTCCTGCCTCAGCCTCTTGAGGGCTGGAATTGTACTACTGCACCTAACTTGTCTTAGTTCTAATTTGACATTTATTCCAAAGTGGAAACATATTAGGAAGTAGCTTTTCCCATCTCCTCCTCAAAAGGTCAGCACAGGAAACTGTTCTACCCGTTTCCGGGCATCAAAACACACTGCTCAATGCTGTTAACAGGTCAGGAACTTCTCAGTCTTCTTTAATTCATAGACAGTGTATAAGGAATCTTCTTCACAACACCAGATAAACACACTGGAAATTTTTCTAATGCAATTACCAAGAACGGTGGAAAAAGAAAAACAATTCAGAAATGGCCAACAAATGTCAGAATAGTCTGAAATAGACTAAATGATGTGCTGCAGTCTAATAGGCGTAACGTCACATTTTGACAAATACAAACAAACGTTACGTGGAAGTCAGAGCTGGCATCCTGTCCTTAGGAAATTTGCCACTATGGGAGACAACAGCCAAGGGAAAGGTTTAGCTCTTTACACAGTATGGATGTCCTTAACTTACAGTGGGGGCTTCATCTCAATGAACTGTGGCAACTGGAAGTTTTGCATGCATTTAAACATCTAGCCTGCTAACCATCATAATTGAGCTCTGCCTAACCATGCTCAGAAGGCATACATTACCCCACAACTAGTTAAAACCATTTAACACAAAATCCCATTTATTATCAAATACCTGCTGGAGGGGCAGATATGGCTCCACAGTTAAGAGCACTTCTGGTTCTTCCAGGACCCAAGTTCAGTTCCTAGCCTCCAAATTTAGTAGCATTAAGTTCACTCATATTTTCAAGTCCGGCTTTATCTCAGGGAAAATGCTCTGTTTCATCCCTTTAAATGAGCTTTACTATAACTCTAAATCACCAACATTAGCGCTGGGGATTACAGCAAGAGTGATGCCATTCAACTGTTATTTAAAAGCCTGGGAGCAGTTTGAGAGAACTTGAACAACTTTCCCAAGCCAACACTTGGCAACAGCAGAGGAAGGCGCCAGGGCAGGGAACAAAGAAAGAACTGTCCACAGAGGCCCCTGTGCAGCAAATGCCCCGCACACTGGTGAAACAACCTCCTTCCATTTTGAAGGTTTTAAACATGATGTGCATATTTGGGGACCACAGGAGAGAAAGTCTGCCACCCACAGGTCAAAGGAAAGAAGGCCCCACTAGTCTTTTTTTAGAGCAGAGTACTGCCTGACCAATGGAATCAAGTGTTCTAAGTGGGACTTTAGGAGAGTAACTGGGTGCAACACAGGAAGAGGCTTTTGGAAATGGATGCTGCCTTCATGTTTCTGCTGTGTTAATCTTTTCATTAACATGATGCATGTGTTTTGTGCTGCACTGCATTTGTGGTAGCCAAAAAATAAAAATAAAAAGCCAAACACTGAAACCCCAGCTAGAACAGAAATGAGAATGAGAGCTCTCTTCCATGCCTTCAGCATGCCCTTCTCATTGCTAAGAATTATCTGAATGAACAACAGAAACTTAATACTGCGGGTAAATACTTAGAAAAATATAGTCTACCAAGATACAAGTCCAGATGAGTTACGTATATACAAGCTTGGGAGAATTAACAGCCTTTATGAGACTATCTTTCTTCATCTTCTGTTGTGGGATATTTGTACACTGTGTGAGGCTGTATTAGGTGTGATTAGTGTAATAAAAAGCTGAATGGCCAATAGTTAGGCAGGAGGTATAGGCGGGATTTCCAGGGAGAGAAAAGGAGAAATCTAGGCACACAGGAGAAGCCAGGGGACATGAAAACAGGAGGTACAAGATGGAAGAGAGGTAACAGTATAATAGAATGGAGATTAATATAAATGGGTTAATTTAAGTTATAAGAGCTAGTTGAGAATAAGCCTAAGCTATAGGCTGAGCTTTCATAATTAATAAGAAGTCTCCCTGTCATTATTTGGGAGTTGGCTGTCGGGACAAAAAATGACTTGTTACCATCTTCCAAAGCAGGACTGGCTGTAAGGTAGAGAAGAGCCCCACACAAACAGGTGGTGGTGAGTCACAGTGTAGAAGTGATGGTGATGCCACTGACCTCTTCTTAAGAATATTAGGTAAGTTACTGAATAGATTAATCTACAGAAGTAGATAATTTGGTGTTATGTTCAGCGATGCCCCTTTGGGGTCAAAACATATTTACACAGACACATACATTTAAGAAGCCTTGGAAAACCATCCTCTAAATGTTAATAGTGGTTATACTGGTTGTGAGGACTGAAAAAGAAAGACAAAAAAAGGACCAAGACAATCCTCTAAAGATGTGCTTAAATAATGGAAAGAAAGCAGGCATGGTGGAACTATTTGGGATGGACTAGGAGGTGTGGCCTTAATGGAGAAGGTGTGTTACATTTGGTGAGGTCTTTGAGGTTTCAAGACTTGCATTATTTCCATCCCAGCCACCCACCTCCTACTAGTGGATCAAGATGTAAGTTCTCAGATGTTACTGCCACCATACCTTTGCTTTGCCATCATGGGCTCCAACCCTCTGAACCCATAAATCCAAATTAAACTCTTCTATAAGTTGCCTTGGTCACAGTCTTATTACACCAATAGAAAAGTAACTGAGAGAGCATCTCTATACTTATAGATGCAGAGAATAGAAGGCTTGACCAATCTTTATCTAGTCCATGTATGGTTTGACTTAAGCAGTGTTAAAGGATGTAATCACTCCTGTTTGACAAATAAGTGGGTTTGTTTCTGCTTAAGCAGTAAACATCACAAGTTCAGTGTTCATCTTACACGAGAACACCCACTCTTTCAGGTCTTGCCATTGGTCCTCTGTGCTGCTCTTGTGGGACAGAGAGGCCAAGGAATTATCAAAATCTACACAACAATCTGAATGCAGATTCTGCCATAGAGCAAAAGCTCTCTGCCTCTGATCCAGGTGTATCCTACAGCATTTGTGATACAATAACAGGCTAATTTGTGAGCCTATAAATAGGGTAAAATTCAGAACTACAGTTATTGATAGACATCAACTATTTCATTCTTGGCAACCACTAATAATGTAGACACTACAATCTGAATATAAAAATTTATTAGGGCTAGAGAAATGGCTGTAAGGTTAAGAGTGCTTGCTGCATTTGCATAGTTGGGTTCCCAGCATCCATGCTGGGCAGCTTATAAACCCATTAATTACAGCTCCAGGGCATGTGGTGCCCTCTTCTGGCCTCCTTGGGTGTGTGTGCATGCACATACACACCTTAAAATTTATTAATATGATACAGCTTATTTCCCAAAGATTTGGCTAACCCTACAAAAATAAAAGTCCATCTAATTCCTGTGAATTTATCTGTGTGTGTGCAAGTCCAGTAATGATTTCACTGTCAGTCTGAAGCACTAAGAGTACTAAATCCAATGCTCGGCGCCACGCTTCAGTCTTTGGTGTAACAGTATCATAAACTCTGCGAACTAGCTCCAGGTTATCTGAAACACCTGAATGAAAAACTCCACCACTTAGTTGACTATATTTACTCAAGATGTAAGATGAAGGAGAGCCAGAGTTGGTGGCAGTTTGTACATGATGTTGAATGAACGTGCTGGCTTCCATTGCTGATGGGTGAGTGGCAGTGTTAGACATGACAGCTGACAGGTATTCATGCCACCCACTTGCCAAGCACTTCAACACAGTAGGTCTGTAGACTGACAGAGATGAGGCCATCCAAGAGGAAGAATCAGGAAGCCATCCTGAACAAGCATGGTTTTCTTTATTTATAGATTGCTCGGCAAGAATTTGAAGATGGCTAAGACATAAAAATTCAACAGCACCACCTCCAAGGAAGACCTTCTCCTCTTTTAGGGCATGATATAAGCGATATACACAGGACCAGAACCTGTCTTCCTTGGTTTCCATCTGAGTACTTACTGGGCAGGTAAGTACTGCTGTAACCAAATTAATTCCTTCTGTTTTTAACAAGATTGCCATTCTGTTGTTCCTGTTTGTATCATGAGGACTCGTCCAGAAGGTCACAGAGACCCCACTGCCCACACAGTCTTCATTCACTTGTGTAACATAGGCTACAGGCACTGCTCTTGTAGCCTCTGCAAACGCTTGCAACACATGGCCACTCACTGACCCCATTACCAGTCGCTTACTATGCATGCATTTTTCAGTCAGATGTTCAGATACACTTCCTTGTGCCAGGACGAGGTTCACATCCAACTGGATTAACACCTGCAGCACACTCTTTGTCCACAGTTCTTCTGCACTGTCTCCTGGAAGTTTCCCACTATCTAACGTGCTCTTCATATTTCCAGACTTATTAAATCCCAGGTGGCGGTAACTCTGTGTGAGGTCACCCTCGATGAGAATCACTCGGAAAGGCTGATCCTGCAATTCCTTTATCAGAGCACTACTAGACGTGGGTACAACAGTGACATATCCTGAACAAACACAAGAAGAAGTTTCAGGTAAGCCAGGGAGGCAGCAAGTGAGGAGTCTTGAAACATCAAACACAAATGGTGCCACAGAGTTGGCTTGCTGCAGACACACACTCTGCCGCTGCAGCCTCACAGCTTCCTCTGCCAAGGCCATGCTGCTGCGGTCTCCATGGCTCAAGCCAACCGCTAACTCCACCAAATCATTACATCTCCAAGTTTTGGGAGTCGATCTACATTGTTCTAGAAATCCATCAGGTCTGCTTATCCAGGGGCTATGATCTGTCCTATTAAAATGCCTACTGTGAGTTAATGCTGACTTTCTGCAGAAAGAGTCTGTATACGCGCTGTGTTGCAGAGCTCGTGGTGTGTTTTTTTTCCATTTCAACCTTAGCCTGAGTTTTGAAGAGTTTGGGTGATTGTGCATGTCTCCCAGAAAGACTGTAAGCAGACAATAACTGAGATGTAGCATCTTTGAAATCATGCTTTTCCTGTAACAACCCAGGATCTGAAGGCACTTGGAGAAAAGGACACAAGCTGACATCAACTGTTTCACGCTCATAAACTGCACTTGTGTTGTCCATGTGGTCAAATACATTGTATATGGGTACTTGAAGGGAAACTACTGCTTCAATGCAAGAGTTCAAGCCTTCGGACATTACTGACACTATTGCTGGAGTGGGAACACCCAGATGGAGACATTTTTCAACAGCGCTGCTCCATGCACCAACAAGAAACAAAAGAGTGCTGGTTCCAATTCTGTATGTGCCATTCTGTGCTTGAACTGCTTCGTTGAGAAGCTGCCCAGCTGCACAGGTTAAATCCAGACCTTCGAGAAGCCTGACTGTTGAGCTGATTAACACACTTTCATGACACTCTGCATCTATAATAAACTTGGAGGCTTTTACTGGGCCCAGGAAACTTCTTCCTGTTTGTGCAAATGATGAAAGCTGTTGAAGTCCCACATGCCTTCTTTTGTTTATGACTCTGTAAGCCATCACCACGAATAATTATCTGCAAATAAACAAACACGTGAAACTTTACTGAGTGATTGATGATGATAAGTGCTACATAAAGTGAAGAAAACACAGCTCACACTTTTGGATATAGTTTCAACTAATGTGATCAGTGTGATGATGCAGAAGAGTAACATAAGGGCGTGGGGGACAGGGTGGTGTAGAGAGGGTTGACCACTCCATATGGCAGAGGAAATGGAGAGGAGCACAAGGCAACAAGCAAGGTTTCCAGAAGGCAATCTGCAGAATGACTTGAAACATATTTGTGCTGTGACTTTTTGAGACAGGGTCTTTCCAAATAGCTCAGGATGGTCTTAAATCTGTGATTACTGTCTCCATCTCGAGAGTGCTAGAATTACAGGTGTGTTCCATCATGTCATCTGCAGGGTAAACTGTGCAAGCTGAGCCAGCAAGCTGAAGGGGGTGGTAGTGAATGTACAAATATGTTAAAAAGAAAGGAAGGAAGGAAGGGAGGGAGGGAGGAAGAAGGAAGGAAGGAAAGAAGGGGAGAAAAGGAAGAAAGAGAGAAAAGGAAGAGAGAGAAAAGGAAAAAAGCACTGTGTACTAGGAGCTATACAAGAAGCCTGGTATTGCAGGAATATAGCATACATGGCAAGGAGCTGAAGGACCTAAGGCTCCAGTAGAGGAGGAGTTGGACTATGAGGACATTTCATGCTATGCCAAAAACTTAAGCTTTATCCTATAATGGGAACCACTTGTGTTAAGATTAAAAAATCACTTGATGTAGTGTTTGTAAGTTTGTATTTCTGAGTCTAGAGGCCTGGGCTTGAACTTTGCTCTACTGCTAATTAGGTTGGTCGCCCTTCAGTTTAGACATCTGGAAAATGAGACTAATCACAGAAGCTACTTCACAGCTACTCTGAGGAGTACAGTGTTCAGAACAGTGCTAGCATACAGTTTTATGTGTGTTCAGATATATTACCATTCTGATAAGTTTGGACTGACTAGCTAAGTACCAGACTGAAAGCAGAGTAGCCACTTAATTTTCTAAGAAACATGAAGCCAGACAATGGGGAGACAGATTGGGTAATGATTACATGATGAAAGAAAAGGGTGCTATTTAAAGAGATCCAAGGGCAATTGAAATTATTCAAGCTAAGACTTTAGAAGTCATATCCAAAATGAATACCACCATGAGAAAGACTATTCAACTAAAAAGCTTTTAAAACAATGGTACTTTCTTTCTTCTTTTTGTTTTTATTTTTTGAGACCAGGTTTCTCTGTGTAGCCCTGGTTGTCTTGGAACTCACTCTGAAGACCAGGATGGCCTTGAATTCACAGAGATCTGTAGCTAGAGTTTTCCTGCCTGGCCCACAGTCAGGACAAATCTCTCTCACCTGCCAGTCCCACAGCCACTCAAACCCGACCAAGTAAACACAGAGACTTATATTGGTTACAAACTGTATGGCCGTGGCAGGCTTCTTGCTAACTGTTCTTACAGCTTAAATTAATCCATTTCCATTAATCTATACCTTGCCACATGGCTCGTGGCTTACGGGCATCTTCACATACTGTTTCTCATCATGGCGGCTGGCAGTGTCTCTCTGACTCAGCCTTTCACTTCCCAGCTTTATTCTCCTCCTTGTCCTGCCTACACTTCCTGCCTAGCCAATGGCCAATCAGTGTTTTATTTATTGACTAATCAGCAACACATTTGCCATACAGAACATCCCACAGCAGAGATCTGCCTGCCTCTGCCTCCTGAGTGCTGGGATTAAAGCTAGGATTAAAGGTGTGTGCCACCACATGGCTAACAATGGTACTTTCTAACTGAAAAACCATCTATACTAAAACTACTGCCTTGGGAGGTGTGAACTCCACTAGGTGAGGGACTGAAGATAAGTGATACTATATGACTTTATGATTCTATGAATATTTTTAATCAGAATCTTGTTCTAATATAGACCATAACTCTGGTAAATTTGTTTCTGAACTAGCTACATTCATCTGTGAAAGTACAATTCCTCCAGAATAGCGTCTTACAGGCTTTCAAGGACTAACTAAGGTAACTAAGGCAGGCCCAGCAATAATTAAGGCATTACATGAACTCGGTCTCAAGTCCTTTTTTTCAATGAAATTTTCAATCTTACATAATAAACACTTACAATACACCCACACATATTCCTTGCTAACATCAAAACATAATATTAAAATATACTCTAGGACTTAACAAATTTGAATGATTAGATTCATGTCTTACATCTATCTGGTCTTACTTTTTCTCTTTCACCTCATTCTCCTGTTATCACCATCTCCCTACTAAACTCTTGACTCTATTTATGAATGGTTTCAATCACTCCATCTAGCACATCTTCAAATCCTCTGCCTCTCTCTGATTCCATCTTACTTACCTTGTAAAGCTACTAATCTTGATAAAAGTGATTTTAATTTAAAGGATACAATTTAGATTTAGTGCATTCACAAGGTTATCCAAACTACCACCTCTACCTTGCTCCAAAAGATTTAACAGTCACAAAAGAAAACCTGGAAGCTACTAAGCAGTTACTCTGTTTCCTTCTGTAATTGGTAATTGCTAATTTGCTTTCAGTCTGTTTTGACCTATTCTTGGTATTTCATATGAATGGAATCATGAAATATGTGACCTTTCTGCATTTTATTTAGTTTATTTTGGGGGTTCTTCCACATTTATTAATGAACAATAATTCACTGCTTTTCATAGTGGAATAATATTCCTTGGTAGGTACCAGGCTTTATATATCTATTTATCCATTGCTAGACATTTGGGCTGTTTCCACCTTTTAGCTACTGTGTTTGTGTCTTTGTTTGTGCTGCTGTGAACATTTCTGTACAAGTATATTTTTTAATCTGCTTCCAAATCTTTTAGCTATAAATCTAGACATGAAATTCCTGGGCCATATGGTAATTCTATGTTTAGCTTAGGGAACTGCCCAGATGTTTTCCCAAACAGTAGAGCATTGCCAGTAGCAATGAACAAAGGTTTTGATTTCTCCACATTCTTACTGCATTAGTTTTCCAGGGCTGCTACTCGAAATTACAACTGTCAGGAGGCTAAAACAATACACATTCTGACTCTGGAGATGATGATGCTGCAGGGCAGTGCTTCCTCTCAGGACTCTAGGGAACGATCCTTTTTTTTTTCCACCCCCTCTTCCAACTCCTAGTTACTCCTGACATTCTTTGGCTTTTAGTTACATAACTTTAGTCTTTGCCTGTTTCAATTGTCCTGTTTGTTAATTACAACATCAACTTACGGCCTACCCTAATCCAGTATGACTTCATCTTAACTAATTGCATCTACAAAGACTACTTTCAAATAAAATCACATTCTGGATGGATATGAAGTGTGTGTGTGTGTGTGTGTGTGTGTGTGTGTGTGTGTGTGTGTGTGTGTGTGTATTTGCACTATTCAGTCACTAGTACATTCAACAACTTTGTTTTGCTTTTGCAAAATTATCAATCCCCTAGCAAATGTGAAAAGATAGCTCACCATGGTTTTGACTTCCATTTTTCTAATTACTAATGATATTAAACATCTTTTCATGGGCCTACTGGACATTTGTATACCTTCTTTGGAGAAATGCCCATTGAAGTTTTCTGCCTATTTTAAGGGTGGGTTATTAAAGGTTTGTGTTGTTGAGTTGTAAGAATTCTTTACACACGTCAGATAGTAAATCCTTATGAAACAACAGCCAATCTCACACTCATGGACCCAACCAACTGCTGATAAGACAATATTTGAAAAACACAAAAACAAACTCTACATCTGTTTTGAACTTGTAACATATATTCTATTATCATTCCTTAAGCAACGTATTATAACAACTATTAACCCAGCATTTGCATTTTCTTAGTTTATTATTATATTAATTTTAAGAATACTATATACCTAAGTATGTGTGTAGGCTAGATTTAAATACTCCACCATTTTATGTAAAGCACTTATGTATGTGTGGACTTTAGTTTCCACAGTGGAGTATTAAACCATTCTCCTAAGGACACGGAGGGAGCTACCCTATTTGATTGCAAGTACAACCTATTGTTCTATAGGAAGTCTTTTCTGTTTTGATAATACAGTTTGACTCATAAAAATTTTTAGTTTTGGTAAAATTTAACATTTATTTGTTGATGCTGTTGCTCATGCTCTTGGTGGCATATGAAGAATCCACTGCCAAATCCAAGGTTATACATATTTAAACCCAGTGTTTTCTTCAGAATTCTATACATTATTTAGTTTACTGATTGATTTGAGACTAACTTGTGATAAGGTGTGGGGCGGAGGTCCTTTTGCATGTGGATATCCAGTTGTCTCGGTGCCTCCTGTTAAATGAACTATTCTTTCTCCTGTATGTTCTTAGTACCTTTATAAGAAATGAACTCGTTATACATACATGTGTATTTCTTTCTGGACTGTCAATGAAATTGTATTGAAGAATATAATCATTTTATGCTAATACCATATTTTTGCAAAAACTGTAACCTTCTATTAAGTTCTGAAGCCAGGAAATTTTAAATATTGTTCTTTTCTTTACATTTATATTTATAGTTTGCCATAAGCTGATTTTTGGAGATAGTGATCTGTGGTGGTATTGTGTTCCCCAAAATATTATGTACCCTAATAAATTTATCTGGGGTCAGAGAACAGACAGCCACTAGATACAGAGGCTAGAAAATGGTGGCACTCACGCCTTTAATCCTAGCATTCCAGAGGCAGAAATCCATCGGGGATCTCTGTGAGTTCAAGGCCACATTGGAAAGAGCCAGGCATGGTGACACACATGGAGTGATGGTAGAAGGCAGAAAGGTATATAAGGCATGAGGACCAGGAACTAGAAGCATTTGGCCTGGTTAAGCATTTGGCTGGTTAAGCTTTCAGGCTTCTAGAAGCACAGTTCAGCTGAGACCCATTCTGGATGAGGACTCAGAGGCTTCCAGTCTGAGGAAACAAGATCAGCTAAGAAGTTGGCCAGGTGAGGTTAGTTGTGGCTTGTTCTGCAT